ATGATAAAAGTCTGTTGTAATAACTTGAAGTTGACGCGCTAGTGTAAAGTGGCCGACTCGCTTGGGTGGCCGACTCGCTTGTGAACCACGTTATTCTACCATGAACTCGATAACCCCCCATAAGCACAAACACCCCAACAAGAACGCAAATCAATACCCACGAACCAAACCCCCCCAAAGCAAACTCGGCAACACCATAAGCCCCAAGACCCCCCACTCAAACACCTCATTACTCGTCTTCTTCTTCTCCTTCTCCTCCTTCGCCACCTCCCCCACCGCCACCAACTCCTCCACAAACCTATCCATCCACGCCTTCCAAACCCCAACCACCTTCTTCACCACCACCATCTCCTCACCCTCATCCCCCTCAATAATAGCAATACACTCCTCCACCACGGCGTTGCTCACCTTCTCCCGTACCCCCTCCCCACAATGCACCATAGCATACCACCACACAACAACCCAAAGCACCATCTGCATCTCCGCCTTGAACTCCTCCGGCACAAACGCCAACGTGGGATCCGCGCCGATCAGGTAGTTGGAGACTGTGTTGTGGAAATAGTAGTAAGCAAGGGGCGGGAGGTCAGAGGCCTCGGTCGCGGGGGCGTGGCGAGCGAGTTGCGTGTCGAGGATTGTGGCGTCGTGTGTGAGAGTGCGGATTATGTTGGCGAGGATGGCGAGGGAGGTGGTGAGGGGGATGGAGAGCGGGGTGGGAGGGGAGGAGAGGGAGGGGAAGGCGCCGGGGAGGGAGGAGGTGAGTTGCTCCATGGTTGTAGTGGGCTGCTTCATAGCTGCAGTAGGTGACCCCACAGTTTTAGCGGGTTGTTCTGTAGTTGTATTAGGCTGCTCCATGGTTGTAGTGGGTTGCTCTGTAGCTGTAGTGAGATGCTCCATGGTTGTTTTTTGGTAGTCTGTCGCTGTCGTGATAGTCTGTTTGAATCATATGAGAGGAAAAGGGGAATAATATCGATCTTTAAATACAGCATCGACACAATGAAGAGCTGTTCGTAAACCATGTAAATTCAGAGAAAACAATGTATCCATTGAGTGAAGTCATGAGAGTCAGACGTTGTGCGTGTTTGTGACCTCCAAGGGTCACTACGCCTGAACAGTGAATGATACCAAAAAGCACATGATGGTCTGTTCGACTCACAAAATCAGAAAATGCATTGTGAATCAAACATTCTCCACATCTCCGCCATCGGTATCGCTTTCGTCGCTTGCAAAATGACTCAGCGCCGAAACAAAAGACGCAACGCTCGAATCCAGCCCTATCGACTCAGCGTCCGCAATATCTTCTGCCCATTGGCGCGTATATTCACTCCACCACACCAACACACTAACCACCATCTCCACGATATCCTCCAACTTCTCCATCATCACCTGAATCCCCATACTCTGCTTTCTGCAGATATAGCGCCGTCTCGCACGAACAAACCCGTCCTTCATCATCCTCCTAACATGGCAGTCCTCATCCCGTGGTATTCGCTCTTCCTGTTTAAAACACCACAGTGCCTGCCACCAAAAGAACTCCAGTCGCATCACTGACTGCATCGTCTGCTCCAGTTCCTGCACCGTGATATACCGCGTGTGGTTCGGCACTGGACCCAGTAGTATCATGAGATGGACAAACACCTTTCCGACGAGGTCGTTGGCGGACTGGAGAGCGGCAGAGTAGTAACTGCTGTGGACCAGGACATCCGGTGTGAAGTCTGGATCCCATTGCAGACGTGAGCATAGATCCAAGTGGAATGATGGACGCAGCATGTCTACAAGGGTCATAGAAGTCTCCAGATTGACAATGATGAAGTCTTGTTTGTCGGTGCGTTCGTAAGTGGCTTGCACGACGGCAATGTCTTCTTCGAAAAATGGCTTTGTCAGTACCTGATTTGTCGCCTCTGTTACAGGGGGTGGCTCGAGAAAGCATAGACAGGCTCCCGGATCTACGCTTCTCCTCTCATTGCCACGGGTCACTCTGCGGCAGATGGGGCGCCTGCAGTGTTGGGTGCAGTGGTCGAGTTTATAGGGTACCGTTCTAATATCCTCATTCCATTCGTTCCATTTATCCCACTCTTTCTCGTCTTCTTCGAAAGCTGGAAAAGGCTCCGTTTGCTCTGGTGGCGGGAGGTGGCTAAATGGACCTGGCGAGGGAGACCTAGCTCTGGGAGAGGAATCTTCGCCTGGATTGTTATTTGTCGGCTGGCTCGAGGATTCGCTCGTTATACCCGTGCGCATCTCTTCCATAGACGACTTGCCTACTTTCAACTTCTTTTCTGCTAAAAGTGTTGGAAAGGTCTTTTTCGCCTTTTCGCGGCATGCGCGAAGTACATTCATAACGGTCCGAAACATGATGTGTCGAGTATATTATTCGGAGAGCAATTTCGTCATGAGAGTATCAAGATCAGGGTAGATGTTCAACTTATTACCGCTTGAAAATTAACATGGCGATATCTCCATATACAATACTTGGTCTTAACGCGTTCCGTGGTTGACAGACCATTACCCCTGCCTCTAGCCAAAATAGCCAATGACATGTTGTGTATCGCTGATTGTTTTCTCGGTCGCTACAGAATATGGAGTTCTTATATGAGAGCTTTTAACTGGACTAAGATCCGACATTGTTAGCGAGAGCGGATTTTGTTCATGGCTGGTTGTTCCCAGTTGTCTAGATTAGCAAAAAAAAGGCGCCCTCTTGCAGTACCCGGAGCGGACAAGAAGTACTGGTGCCCAGCGAATACTTTATTTCTCAGTTTGAGTATTCTACTCGATATCAAGAAGCTACAAGGTGTATCTCTAACCTACTTAGAAAATCCAATAGTGAGTCCCTCTAGAGACTGAGGTGAGATCTTTATTTTTGTATATCCGAGTGAGTGATATGATATCAGCGGCTTCCTTACCGTCTGCAATAGAGCTTATAAGAAATTTTCAAGAGTCGCATTATGGTGCATAGTGTTCTCTTATTTTTTTCAAGACCATTTGCTCAAGAAATCATGCTACGACAATACTACTTGCTTCCATAAATATCCATGTTTGCAATGACGTAACACACTAGTGCCCCACCCCCACTACAGCCATTGGATCTCGACCACACATAAGGATCGTATCAGCTGCCATGGCGGCATTTTAAAAGTCAAAACCTACCCTATACGATATTGACTGCCAGTCTGTAAAATGGCGCTTCCACTCGGAGTCTTCCTTGGTGGCTGTGTCATCGCAATTCCCGTCGTCACAGGCGTCGCGCAGGGCGTCGAGCATCAAAAGAAGCAGAACGAAGAAGCCGCCAATGAGTCGCGCATGTGGAAATTCAACTGTCTGGTGGCATGCGATGATCCTGATCCAATAGCAAAAGAGGAAGTGGACCACGGTATTCTGGTTGTACGCCACGACAAAGTTTGGGTCGTGCCGAGGAGCGAGGATGACAAACCCATGTGGCCCGAGGGCGTGGATGGAGAGGGCAAAGAGCCACTTCATGCGTTTGCGGGCTTCTATATTGCGTATCCGGATGAGGACCGTAATCCGCCGGAGCGAGGACTAGTAAGCACCATCAGTGATGATCCGCCCATGCTCAACTGGATATATTGCGACAAAAACACGTACGAGTTGCGGTACTCGAATCGTACCGGTAGTATCATGCATCATATCGGTGTCTGGGACTGGTCAGAAGACGAAAGCCATCTCACTTTTGACGGCTGGGAAGGCTTCGTTGCTATTGACGAGTGGGATGGCGCTGACGAAGACCCTTCAACGCCTTGGGGGAGAGAAGGTCTGCGATGGGCCGTGTACTTTGACAAAGACGACAACGGTCTCAAAGGTCGGAGGAAAGGGAGAGACATGTTTGAGATCAGTCTGAAGAGGAGGATACAAAGTGCAGAAGAGCAGCTCAAGCAAAATGAGGCGGCAGAGAAGAAGATGCAAGTCAAGAGTAGGGGTGGGCTCAGTACATCATTTGCGGCGCCACAGAAGGAAAGAGATAAGGAATGGGAAAAGAAGTTTGGTCAAAAGGCAAGAGAAGAGTTGGAGAAGAAGCTGGCGAGAGATAGAGAAGCAGGAGAGGGGCCGCAGTGGGAAAGAGGTGATGTTGGGAAAGAAGTTGGTTGAAAGAAAGCTTTTTGTTGGAAAGACACTTCTCCAAGCGCTTCTCTAGTTTTGATCAAGGCCTGGTTTCGTATTCGTACGGGGGTTTTTCCCGTCTTGAATACCCCAAGCGAATTCTTTTTCGAGTCATGATGCTTTTTCTTTTTGCAGATACATTCTAGAAATCTGAAAACGACCTAGATCAATAGCCAGGAGCTTGTTGATATCTCAGGCATAGAAGACATTATGTGAAATATCGTTGGATATTCTTCAAAGGACTAGGTATTAAACAAAACAAACACGTGCTCACAGGAACATCATCAATGGTGCCAAACTTGACTGAATTGTAACATAACAGCTGATTATTAAGTTACAAATGTACTACCAAAAAACCCGCTGAAGATACCACGAATAAACAAACTCCAAAACACACATGCCCTCCCAACTAAGCCCTTCATGCAGCAGGCTTCCTCGTCTCAAGCTTCCTAGGCGCCCTCTTTGCGGCAGGAGGAGCCGGCGCTTTAGCCGTACCATTAGCGTTGGCAGCATTAGGAGTCTGCTGATTCAATTTCCTCGGCTTTCTCCTGGTCTTTGCCGTGGAAGTGGTGGAACTGCTTTCTTGGCCGTCGTTGAACGAGACGCGCTTCGTCTGAGTGGGTCGAGATGTATCTGCTGGTTGAGATTTCGGGGGCGAAGATTTAGTTTGCGTACTTGTTGCAGGTTTGTTGGAGGACTGTTGGGTTCTTGGTTGTTGCTTTTCCTGAGTGGGCTGCGAGGTGGTGTTGGTAGTTGATGGCTGGGGTTGCGATGCTGATTGAGGGTTTGCTGGCCCTCTTGTTGTAGGTGGTCTTTGGGAACGGGGCTTCGCGGGCTTAGGCTCTTCTTTGGAGGTAGCATTGGATGATGCGCCATGCTGGTTTCCTTGCTTTGATGGCTGCCTGCTCGGTGGGTTCGGTCGCTGGTTTTGAACTTGAGGAGGCTGTTGGCTCCGTTGTTGTGTCGGTTGCTGGTTCTGAACTGGAGCTTGCTGGTTTTGCTTCTGTTGGCTCTGTTGCTGCTGCTGAGGTTGCGGTGCACTCTGCTGTTGCTGATTTTGCTTTTGTCCTCCCCAGGGGTTCATCGATGCACCTAGCCCTCCAAGATCCACCGCACCACCTATACCTTTCGCTGATGGCATACTAGGCATACTTGGCATTTTGGGTCTCCAACTTGTCATATCCTTGACTGACTGCGACCAAGACTGCGGCATCTGGTCTGGCGCATCGTTCTTCATCTGCTCCAGCTCTTCCCTAGTGGGAGCTTGCGTTTCCTTTGTCTGCATGATCATCTTCTCTAGAGCCTTCCTTTGCGAAGATGTCGCTTTGATGTTGGGAAGAAAGTCGCCAACCACCCCTTGAACTCCGTGACTTGCCATCTCTCCGAGATCCCAAAAAGGCCCAGTCATGGCCCCGTACACTGAACCGATACCACCTCCAAGTAGACCAGTTACTGTAGACACCAGGCCCCCAACCAGTGCACCAGTCAGTTTTCCAAGGGTTACACCTGGTTGTACGCCCAATCCTGCTCCAGCAGCCAACCCCTGAAAAGCACCGGACTGTGTGTATTTTGCTGCTTTTCCAAAACTCTCGGCTTCGATTTCCTTGTTGATTGCTTTGGCTAAGATTTTCTCTCTTGCTTCCGCATCGGCAGCGCCATGTGCTGCTTGCCTGAGCTCCCATGCTTTTTGTCCTGCTTGTAGAGCCATACTGGCAGATACGCCGGCATTTTGCTTGATTTCGTGCTCGGGGATGGTACAGTGCGGAGTATCGTCATTGCTGTTGGCCTGGCCCTTTGCGGGCTTTGGTTTGGATTGTTTTTGTGCTTGTTTTGGCGGCATTTTGTTAGTTTGTGATGTTCAGAGATGTTGTCAAGGGTCCAGAAGCCGATTGATGTTATGAGGGTCGGCACTATGTGTGACAGCGCGAGTACGGAAGCGCTACGTCATGCCAGATCGTCGTTGGTGCACGCATGTGGCAATTGACAACCTGTTTTATTAAGGAGGGTAACACGTGTTTGACAGGCCATGTAGGGATAGCCCTCTAATACTTTCGGGACCGGGAGTCGGACTACGCTGCGCTCGACGTTGATTCGTGGGTGTACTAGCCTGGCATGACGTCGGTGGCCTAGTGGTGTTTTCTGATCTAGTCTCCCGTCGACAAGCCACATGAATCGTACCTTCAACTCTAGATGCAAGAACTATTCCATAACTTGAGATACTAATTCCAAGTTTACCCTGTAGTGGTGACCCTATGAGTATATAGAATTTGTAGTGAAACAGTTCGCCACTAGCTTTCCCGAAGATGGGACAAGGAACAAAATCGACTTTTCAGGTTCAATCGTTGCTGCTTTTCCTATGTTATCTACAACCATGATTTCGATCACATCAAACTTTCTTTGTAGCGTCCCCAGTTGCTCCGACATCCTTGCCGCCTCTCAACTCCTTGTTCGTCGTCTGGATCAATAATCTTCGGTAGCTTGTCAAATTAGGTGTTCCATCATTGGTAACCTCGAGAATAAGATGCAACAATTGGCCTTGTGCAACAGGTTGCTTGCTCGTAAATTCCACGGCAGATTTCTCTGGTGGTGGAAGCGTAATTTCAACTTTTCTCCCCTCATTGTCCAACTTTTTGATTGCCAACTCTGCGACTTCGGCGTCTACCCACCATTGGGTAGCCGTGGGCTCGCGGTAGTGCCACCATTTGAAGGTCAGGTTGCCTCCATTGGGGTCATATGTACCTGAAGCATCGAGCGTGATAGCAGATCCAGCCTCGGCAGTGATTTGAGCGGGAGCGAGGCCCTTGAATCCACTAATATTAATCACGGGATGGTGATTAGCTTTTGCAAATTCTGACTCCATGGTCCATTTGATGCGGGCAGCAAAGTCGTTCTGGAAGGCATCGCGCCAACGCCAAATAGTCGCATGGTTGGATGTGTAAGTCCTGTTACCGACCTGAACTCGATCCGCTGCATCGCTGTAGTGGTTGCTGTTGACTCCTTCGCTGCTGACATCTGTACGACTATACCGCCCACCCCAAGAGCCGTAGTGCGGGCAATCAGGGACGCCCAGGCCATTCTGAATCAGGTACAGAAATGTGGGTGTATCTCCCTCGGGGATAAAAAGGTAGTCAGGATACGCGCTCCCAAGAGGACCTTTCTGGATATTCTCCTTGATCCAGCTCTTCTCCATCTTGGTAAAGTCGGGGCCACCTTGATCGAAGCCATAGTATCTCTCGCCAGAAATGCCAGTCCATGCAGCCAAGCCATACTGGTTCCAGCCATGGACCGAGGAAATGTAGAACACATCTGGAAAATTGTTCCGAATCCACACTCCCGTGTCATCCTGGTCAGAAATAGCGTAGACGCGTAGACGTGAAAGCAAGCGCTTGGAATCGTCCGGGTCATAATCATCATCAACCTTCAAGAGCGCCTGAGCAAGCGTGTTGGTTCCGCCCCAGCAGAGGATCCACAGCGGCTGGGTGGATGGTGCAACAATCCGATCGTACAAGAGCTGCCCGCCAGCAGATAGTTCTGTTCCGGTGCCAACAGCAGACATGCCATATGTCTACGTTACATCAGCACCGTCCCAACTAAACATCTTGCATGTTTGAATTCGAGTATAAGCTTACCTCGGCGCCCTTCCTGATAAGGCCACGCAGATGATCCGCAGTCGGGTATTGCCATTTCGGATGAACATGCTTATTTAGATTGTCGACAGCTCCGGCATATGCATCGATAATCTTCTCCATGTCTTCCGGGTGAACTTCGTTCTTCATCCACGTGCTTGTGCATGCTATGAGGCCCTCTGTTTCAAACTGATTCGAGTAGAGGAGGTACCGACACAGCGATTCAGCATCGTCAGGCTCATTTGAAATGTCCGACAAGACGATGACGCGGGGCTTCTGCTCATAAGCTTGGAGCCGTTCAGTTGCCATGCTGGTGTTCTCAATGGCGTACGAGAGGGAAATGAGAAACAAGAAAGCGAGGATTATGAGGGGCTCAATGGCATCATATGTCGGGGATTGCTATGGTTACCGCTGCTGTTTAGCTATCACGTCTCACAAGGTGGGGCGTTGAGGAACGAATGTGGCACTCTAGGCACTTCCTGCCGTCTGGAAGCCACGCCGGCTGCACTTGCCTGTGCACAGCTCAGCTGTACGACACACTTCACTGGCATCCCCAGTCTTCACCCTCATAAGGCATCACCAAGGCACTCTATTCTCTGTGCAATATTCGCCACTACAGGTATTGTTCAGGATAGCCGTTCCCGCGATCTACTAGCAGTTGCGGGGCTTAGATGACTGCGCCATAATTAGGCCGCATTGAGCCGTGGCGCTCAGCCTTGCGTGCAACCCCCTTCAAGTAGATCGCATGAGCAAAACACTCAGTTCCGCCATCGACAAGTTATCGCTGCATCCACCTCACCTTTCAGGCGTCCAGAATGACGTATTGGTGTCACCGGGCTGTGTTGTTCAGCCTATTGCGAACCGAGTGTGAATACGCCCTCTCACATGTAGATCCCTCAAGGCAGGCTGTGTACCCCAACATGTCATCACTCTGATATAAAGATTGCCTTGCCCTCCCGTCTATGGCAAAAACCCTGTAACAAACACACAACCAGAACTTGGAAATGTCTTCTATTCAAGATAAACTTCAACAAGCGGCGCACCAAAACGAGCAGTTACTTCGTGGCCTCGAAGAAACCGATGCTGCTCCCTCACAGCTCAAGCAGCAAAATGACTACATAACCGACCTGAATTCCCAAATTCAGAAAACAACAAGCCGGGTAAAAACACTTCAGAACAAAGCAAAGGTCGAGCTTAAGGAACATGAAAAGTACCGCGACTCGACCTTTCGGCGTTTCGCCCATAAAGCAAGCGGCAAGAAGGAGAGATTTGCCGAAAAGGCCGCCAAAGAAGAGAAGGACTATTTCGACGCGATACAAGAGCAAAAAAGCGCCGAAGACGAACTAGCATACATCAAGCAACTGCGCGATGAAGCCGAGAGGCGGAGACAAGAACTCTCCGCCCAAGCCCAGCACCACGAGAGCCTGCAAGCCCAACTCGATGACCTCTACAACTCCATCTTCGCCGGCCACACACCGGAATTTCCAGATGAAGACCGCAAAGAGGATGCCTGTAACGCTGCTCTCGCACAAGTACAACACACAAACCAGCGTCTGGAGCGTGAACGCCACATCCTCTTCCTCCTCGGGCAAACCTCACTGAAGCTCTCGGCTGCCCGCACCTCCCTCGAGCACGCCTACGGCATGAGTCAATTCGACATGTTCGGCGGCGGCACCATGGCCAGCATGCAAAAGCTCAACGACCTGGAGCGCGCCGAAAGCGCAATGGCCCAAGTGCGCATGCTGCAAGACCAACTCACGCAGGTCGCGCCCGAGATACCCGCCCTCGGCCACCTCAACATCGCCAGCGGCAGCATCTTCTCCGACGTCGTCTTCGACAACATCTTTACCGACATGCGCATGCACGAGGAGATCAAAGCTTCCATCGCGCAGGTCGACCGCGCAGGCAAAGCTTGCGGCGATATCATACGCCATCGTGAGCACCTCGAGCATAACTTGCAGACGGACGTCCAGCACGCACAGACCGCGCTGCAGAGCGCACGCCATGACTTGCAGAAGGCGCGAGAGGAGGCGTTCAAAAGGGTCCTGCATAGTGCTGCTGCGCCTCAGTTACGTTCCATACCCGTGGGTCTTACCGCTGAGGCTCCTCCCCCCGAGTATGCGCCGCCTGATGGCCCACCGCCCGGGTATTCGGGTTATTAGCTACAAACTACGTAGCTAGCAGCGATTATACGCATATAGTGGCCTGGTAGGTAGAGTGTACAATTGCTTACAAGGGCCTAAGTCTAAGGGGATTCTAGACTCGGGTTACTTGTTCCATTAGATATACCGATTTCTCACGTGCTCCTGGTTTGGACAAGGCGAGTTGTATAAAGTATTTTCAATGACTCGGGTTAGCGGGGTTTGCTAGTAGTAGTAACTTACTTGGTTCGATTTGACCATTCTATAAAGCTTCTAGCGCAATGGATGTTTGTTGTGCTGCATGCGTGTTTCATCTGTGACGCGCATAATTTTTATTTTTATTTTTCGTGGATCGTCTTGGGCATATATTTCTAGATATATATATATATGGTACACTGTCCAAGAAAACAGGAGTTGGTCTTGGTGCCCACCCCTTGAGACGTGTAGGATCTTGACGTGTCAAGCACGTTATCCACCGCTCGGCTTTTCGTCGGTGCTTACAAGATAAACACGACTTTTCTTTTGTAGTATAAGGCCGGAAACATGAATGGAGAAGATTACGGGTGAGCGTATCGGGTATGGTGGGAGAAGAAAGTCTAGTCCTGGCACAGCACTCGAGTCATCCAGGCACACTTGTGAAGAGAATATTCCAGATAAAAGAACAGGTACGTAGGGAATGCAGTAGCATTGGGCAGCTGCAAGTGAAGCCGCTAATAAGAAAATGAATATATACAGTATAGGTCATGATGACTGCTCCACAATCCACCACTTTTGCATTTCCTACCAGCGAAATCTCTTCTACACGTAACCATCAATCATCTAGATGAAGGCCTCGGCGAGGGCACTTTCAAAGGTGCCGTCCCTAAATGCCGGTGTTGCCGCGCCAAAATCCGTGTTCTGGATCGCATTGCGTGCAGCAGCCGTCAAGCTGTCCCATGCAATCAGCGGCTGCTGACCACCAAGGTCGTTAGTGGCAATGAGCTGATGGTTCAATGGCCAGAAAGCCCGATATCCAATCTTGGGTCGAGTTCCCTCCAACGGTGGGCTGGTTTCTTTTTGGTAGTTACCGTGTGCGGAAATAGCAACGCCGCGAATGGTGGCAGTGGTGGAGGCTGCTGAGAGCCAGACGACAATGTTTTCCCAGTCGTGGCGGTGACCGAGGCCACCTGAGGGCGAATCCTTGGGCATGTACCAAGCGTACATGATGGCGTAGGCACCGTTGTAGGTTGTAGCACGGGCGTAAACTTGGCCGGTGCTGGAACTGCAGCCGCTATTTTCGCCGCCACTGGGGTTGAGCCCACCGCTATGAGAAGAATCAGCAATTGTGGGATTTTGGATGTAGGTGAAAGACGGACCTAGTGTCTCCTGCGGCGTTGACGGCAGGAAAAGGAACACAGCCGTTGAAGACCTTCAAGAAAGGCTTGTACTTGAGCATAAGCTGTCCAACAAGACCAGATGGGACGGTCTCGGGGAAGGGAACCACAGCATCGTGTGCAATGACTGCGCGGCTTTCGAGGCTGACGGGGGAGGAGAGGACGACGCTCGCAGCTGCGAGGAGCTGGAGGGACAGACTTCGGAGGCCGAGCATATTGATTCTTAGCGTAGTATACCAGGGCAAGAAATAGTTCTAAGAATGGGTACAGTCCAGTTGTCGGAGACCTCTGTGTTGCTGAAGCCGGGGATAGTCTTGTTTTTTATACTAACGCTTCGGCACTGTGCCGGTCACATGTGCCATGCTAGTCGGTGAAACAAGTGCCGCATAGTGTTGTTCTGTCCTTGGTGTTTCCGGTCATGCCTTAGGGTTTTGGCGCTCGCATGGAGCGGAACATTGTCTATGCATCCTTCCGACACGATGGTAGGGCACATGGGTTATTGTGTAGACATCCATTGGCCATTGCTCAGACACAGCATTGATATGGACGTTGACAGCGGCCTTGTTGCAGTTCATAGGTATGCGGGGCAAGCAGCGACTCAGGGACCGCATAAGTACGCTCGGAGAAGGGCTCTGTAGAAGGCAATTCGTTATGTCGATCTAAGTAACCTTGCATTAGACATATTAGGCATGGTTCTCGTTATGGCGAATCAGATACAGTGCACGTGCACGGGTGCGATTGAACAAGTGGTTTGTGGAGCAGAAACGACGTTTTAGGCAGGTGGAGGGAAGAAGCGGATGCGATGCAAGGTCAAAGTGAGAAAGGTGTACGGCGGTATTCTTGGTAAATGGATAAACGCACAAAGCCATTGGAGGGTTTGGACGTACCTGCAGCCACAGCAAGATGTGATGGATGCCCACGATCCGCCGGCCACGCAACCCTTCATCCGAAATGTCTCCAGATAGTGCGGCGCTCCCCTTCGGGCGGCGTCTTGGGCCCAGGCAGTATCTCACGGAGCAAGTCGTTGATATCCAGTCCATGTTCCACGCAATTGTGCCATTGCCTTGGATAGCCTAAGCTTACTTCCTCGAAGCGCGTGTTATCGATCCAATCTGTCCTCCTGATATGCAAGTGGCCAGACACAACCACTTTGGCATTGAACCTGTTGTGCCAATCCTTTGTCCGCTTGGTGCCACACCAGAGCGAAAACCGGGGAACCTTGGTCAGCTTCACGAGATCTTCTCGCAAGGGCCAGTGCCCGACTATGATCAGCGGGATGTCTGGGTGCGCAGCCACAGCCGCTTCAAGCTTCTTCTCCGTCTTGTCTACAAGGGCATTGCACCATTCGATTCGCGACGAGTAGGGGTCTGGATGCAGTAGGTGTTCGTCGGTCGCTTCAATATCTTGTTCTCTTGCCCACGCGAGAGCATCTTGTAGTTTTACCGAATCTGGGCGAAAGCTGTAGTCGTACAGCGTGAAAATGGGCGCAATCAGACATGGCCCTCCCTCGCCCTGCCACAGCACGTAGTCATCCTCGGGCGTGAAAATGCCAAATTCGCGAGCAATCTCCACACACTCCATGTATTTTGCCTCGCCTCTTGCGCCGTTCTCCTTGTTTGCAGGCAAAGTGTATAGCTCGTGATTGCCCGGCACCCAAAAGACGTCCTTGAAGCATTCCTTGGCTTTGGTGAAAGCCATGCGACAGTGCTCAGCCGTCTCTCCGACATCACCGCAGAGGATCAAGTCATCGTGCGGATGGGGAACAAGCTTTTCCAGGGCTTCACGGTTGCCTTTGAAGGAGAGGTGGATGTCGCCGATGGCCCATAGGCGGCTCGGTGGAAGCGTTGCGGCGGATGGAGGGGTATTTGGCGGGGAGGGTGTTCTGGCTAGGTCTGCAACAGCGGTTTCTGCGGCAGCGAGAAGAGGGTCCATGACTGGCGGTTGGATTTGAATAAAGATGGCGTCGAAGTTTCAGCACGTCTGCGTCAGCACGACCAAGGTATATAGACTTTGCTCTGTGTGTTCGTGAAGCCTCATTATGTCATCCCGCACCCCAGGAAACGCGTGTTCGCCGTCGCGACAATGCCCGCCAACCCGCCGAAATTCATTTGTCGGGAACCCGGACACCGAAGAACTAGCGGGTCGGGCTATATAGCGGGAACTCTGCTAGTTATGTGTAGACATGATATCAATTTCTTCACGCATAGACACTGTGCGAGTTAGGGTATTACTCATAACTGCGCTCATTTTTCAAATGAACTCTATTCTGGCAGTGCTGTTCTTACCTGTCACGTATGGCTACTCGAAGCCCGCCTACTATTCTGTTCATCGTGTCTGGCGTGCCCAGTGGATCCCAAGCTGACATGCGCCCACTTCGACAACTGACACCCATGACATAGTACTACACGGCTCCCCAATCCCGCAAGCACGTTCGTGCGGGACAAACTATAGGTGGCCGTGCATAATACGCAGAATGGCGTTTTCCTGAAGAAACAGAGAATGCGTGTTCGTTCAGGTACATGAACGCAAAGCAGCCAAACCTTGATTAGTCTTGCTCTATTACCGGACACTGACATGTGTGGCATGTGCGTGCAGATATCGATCAGTTTTTCCAGTCCGCTGTGTATTACGATCAATACTTTTCAGGCAACAAAACAAACGTTTATGGTTACTCTCATGCATGCCCTCGGCAATCCTACCTCTATTCCCCCGCAGTGACGTAGTAGTGCTCACACGCTGAAGTCCTTGAGGAAACAAACAATGGCTGGATGGAACAGCACACACTAACAGTGAAGGTTGTAGGCAAAGATAGTACAGTAACCATAGCTATAAGCTTGATGCCCGACCAACTGCTCCTGCATCGCTGGTTAACTTGATGAAGGAGCTAATGCATGTATCGGGATCAACACCATCGCATGAGCCGCCCCGAGGTACATGACCCTCAGGCACCAGGCACACGCTATCAACTTGACCGGATTCGACAACCATACATGAATCATGGCTGCACAGTCCGAATCAGGGATCAGTCACACTCAAATCCTACAGCCAAACAATTCGTTCTATGCAAGCAGTAGCGCTGTTGGCTAAGCAATCAAGATCAAAGGGTGGGGACTGGTGATGCAATACTTCCATCTGCCATGGCACCCTGCGATGGGATCAGCAGCCTCATGCAGCTACTAGTATATGTGCATGCGTCGAAAGATTTTGGACCATGGGAGCAAGTGTTTTCCGGATTTATTCTCTCAATCTCTGTCGTTTCCATCATGTCGAGCATTATTCCCGTTGATCTACTGTCCTCTGCGACAAACCCCTTGTACCTAAACAGCATCGTTTCGACCAATGCCTTGAATCCAACCACGATTGAATTCCTCTCTTATAATCCCAGCTTTGCTTCCATACTTGGGGGAAATGCGACGGCACGACAGTTGTACAACCTAGATTACTCTGCTTTCCACGAAGCAGGAGTATACAGCAAAGATACCCAAAAGATTTATGTAACAAGCGACTGGGCGGGTGACCTGTCCAAACCCATCAACGTAACCACCATCGACCTAGCAAACAACTACTCCATCTCTTCAATCAAATACCCCTTTCTGTCTGAACCCAACGGGGGAACAGCGTACTATCCTCCAGGCACACAAGCCAACTCATCCACGCCACCATGCATACTGTACTGCGACCAAGGCGACCTTATCAATCCCGCTGGCCTTGTCAGCGTAGATCCCGTTTCCGGCTCCTCAACCCGCATTCTCACAAACTTTCTTGGACGAAATTTCAGCGGCTTGAATGACGTGCGACAACACCCTGTTACCGGCGACATCTGGTTCACCGACACCGATTATGGCTACTATAAAGGTTTCCGCCCACCGCCCAACCTCCCCAAGCACGTGTATCGTTTCTCCCCTTCAACGGGCGCGATCGAAGCTGTCGCAGGTGACTTCTTCCAGCCAAATGGACTCGAATTCAGCCCAGATTACATGACGCTATATGTATCTGACTCTGGGGTTTACCAAAACGATACAGACCTTACACGTCCTTCTACAGTCTATGCATTCGATGTTATCGATGACAACAAGTCTTTGGCAGGCAGACGCACGTTTGCATATGTGGATACTGGGATCGCTGATGGACTGCACACAGATACCGAAGGCAACTTGTGGGCAGGCTGTGGCGATGGCATAAACTTATGGAATCCAGCTGGTGCTTTGATTGGCAAGATTTGGATTGGAGTTACTAGCAACAATTTTGCGTTCTTGCCAGGGGCTATGCTCATCTTTAGTAATCAGCAGTTGTGGCTTGTTGAGAATTTGAAGGCAGTTGGAAGGGAGGTTGGCAAGGACTTTGGAGTGTGAGGAGAAGGCAAGTCATGCATGGCATGAGAATGGATTACACGATTTGATTGCAACTACAATTCCAGAACTGGAAAATGGGCCCTAAGGCCCTCCGAATCACGTGATACAAGGTTCTTACAGGTGTTCTGGTATAAAGAATAATATTTATAAAGATTTAAAATCAGTGTCATGAAAGTTGAAGTGGGTGGCAAAGAGGAAAGAAGCATCTCACCTCACGCGTTCTCGACCATTCCTTGGCATTCCACTAGCTTTGTCATCCGCTAGCGTCCGCTCCGGCGAGCTTCGCGCGCATCGCGACATTTTACACCGTCCGCGCGACAACCTCACCATCTCCATCGTCCCTGCTCCATCGGCCGATCGACATTGACATCTACATTCCGACACGCACACGTTTTCCGATCGTCGTCATCAAAACACCATATCCCATAGCGACACGCACGCGCAACACCCGCAAACATGGCCAACTACCTCGCCTCCATCTTCGGAACCGAGCAGGACAAGGTCAACTGTTCTTTCTACTACAAGATCGGTGCCTGCCGTCACGGCGACCGCTGCTCGCGAAAACACGTCAAGCCATCGTACTCGCAGACGATCCTGCTGCCCAACCTGTACCAGAACCCGGCATACGACCCCAAGAACAAGATGAATGCGCAGCAGATGCAGATGCACTTTGATGCCTTTTACGAGGACATTTGGTGTGAGCTGTGCCAGTACGGGCTGGTAGAGGAGCTCGTTGTTTGCGACAACAACAATGACCGTACGTTTCCTGCACCCTTTCCCCCATCTACGCATGGTGACTTTATGCTAACTTTATTGAACTAGATCTGATTGGCAACGTCTACGTACGTTTCAAGTACGAAGAGGATGCCCAAAAAGCCTGCGATGCCCTCAACAGTCGTTGGTACGCTGGTCGCCCTATCTACTGCGAACTCTCGCCCGTTACCGATTTCCGCGAAGCGTGTTGTCGACTGAATAGCGGTGAGGGCTGTGTGCGCGGCGGCTTTTGCAATTTCATTCATCGCAAGGAACCGTCTCCTGAGCTGGACAGGGAGCTAGACATGTGCACGCGAAAGTGGCTTAAGGAGCGCGGCCGCGATGCCAGGAGTATGAGCAGGAGTCCTACACCGCCCGCCACTGCTGCTAAGAACAGGTTTTGAGTGGGAAGAAGAGGAGGGGCTTTTGACGGTTGCTGAGAAGGTGGCGATTAAGAGTGCATGTAGGGATTACTAGGAGTTTCTGGCGTTAAGACATGCCCGCGCAATTTTCTTCAGGAGACGTTGGACTTTGATACCATCATCGGGCATTGCGTTGTTCTGTCACTCAAATAACATGCATCTTTGTAGTATACGAATTCAGTTTGGAAGAAGAGAGATGTAATGTATCTTTTTCCAAGTCACTTGCTTGTCATTTTCAACCATGCTTATATCGGATTCACAGGTAGCAGAGTCACACATAAATATACAGGTTGCACACGAGGCATATGGTAAGAAAAAGACTATGAGAGCAAAACAAACTAAAAATCGGTAAATTCATGGTCATATCAAACAAAGACCTGGTATCATGTACAAAGAAAAGGAAGAACCACATAGACTCAATGCTCGGCATGCCAGATGTCCAGTTGCAAAAGGACCAGCCCAGCCAGTTTCGAACACTCCAGCCCCTTCTCCAAAAAAAAGAGGAGCAAAACACCGGACCTTCTCCCTTTGCCCCAAAATTCTTATATCCTCGAAAAAGACGCCGAATACCCCGTTCCGGACCATTCCGGGAAGAAAAGAAGAACTCCGCGCTCCCCGCTCTATATTCATGTTCGTACAACGCAAAAGAAAAAAAGCACCGAAAACAAAAAGATTTAGCCAGAAGAGAAAACCAGAGAGGCGGGGAGGATGTCGAACCACCCCCCTCAAAACCCCTCAACACTCTCAAATAATCCCCCGAGACTTGAGCACCAGTACCGTCGTAACAACCGCGGCAACAAGCAGTAGCATTCCGATCCAAAAAGCCCAGCAAATCCACGTGCGATGGCGCTCTTTCCGCTTCTGCCGCACAAGCCACGAGTCTCTGTGTGAGGCGTCAGCCGTGATGGTAGTTACGAATTTGAAGCGCGAGGAAGGGCGACCGCTGAGGGAGAGGGAGAGGGCGGAGATGTTTGGGGCGCGGAAGAAAGGGCGGAAGGGGGAGGAGGGGGAGGAGGTGCGGTGGTGGATGCGGGGGGGAGGGTCGAGGGGGGAGGGGTCCGGGGAGCAGATTGTTGATGTTGGGGATGATAGTATTGAAGACGGAGAGGTAGAGGTGGGTGGGAGTTTTATGTTTGAGCCGTTGAAGTTTGGGCGGAGGAGAGGTTTTGTCGAGGGAGTTTTTTGGAGGGTTGAACGGCGGAGGGCTTTGCTCTTTCGTTTGTCTTTTGCGGGGTATTTGGCGGTGTCGTCAGGGTCTGAGAAGGAGATTTCGGCGGAGAGGGGCGAGAGTGGGCTTGTTATGGTGGAGCCCGAGAGCGAGGCCAGGTGGACCATTGGTGGTTGGCCCGGTGAGGACATTGGAAAGTGTAGTTGTGATAGGGGGGACCCGAGAGACAATGGTACAGGGGTAAAAGAAGAACTGCTTGCCACGTACGGGTGCTTTGGGCTTTGGGCCGTCATGAGCTGCTTCTCCAAATCATCTTGGTGTACGGCTGTGCTGAAGCGTTTCCAGAATTGGGGATCGCGGATCATGGTGAAGGCTCGGTGGTGGGCATTCGGAGTGGTGCCGTGATGGGTGATTGGATATATATCGTGAAGAGAGGCGAGCCAAGGCAAACGAGTGAAGTGACAAGTTTCGATGTGTATCGAGCATGCGACAGTGACACTATGGTCGATGGTTTGTGGTGGAAAGTCTTATTCAATTTTGGAGATGTTGGTGAAACCTGGATTAGGTGTAGTGCCCAATCCGAAAATGTGTAGCGATGGAAGTCGTGTTTTTTTGTTTTTTTGCCAAACAGCAAGGTGCGAGCCATGCGCCGGGAGAGCGGAAGTGGGTGTATATATCGTCGATTTCAAAGACACACACCCCTCGTCAAATAGCGGGAGAGGGACAAATAGAAACACAGGGCGTCCACTGTGGAATGTTACACTGTGACATGCGAAATAATCTGTGGAGAAGGCGACTGGACTAGGGATCCCAGGATAGTGTAACGTGAAACGGAGTCACCAACGGAACGTGACAACCGCAATGGTCCACAGAGTAAAAGTAATTTGGATGAAGAATAGGCGAAGAAAAAAGAAAACAACAGTCGGTGGTCTGAGGTGATTAAGAAAAGGGTAAGGCGTAGGTTGAAAGGGAAAATGGATGAAGAGAAGATATGACTGAAGGCGATTGGGGGATCTGGGGGGTTAGTATTGCCATGATGAAGACCCTGCCAGACGGGCTGCTGAGATGCGCTCAAACAACAATGGACGGGCCTTTGGCCGCATCTGACCATTATGATGTAACTTGGGTTGTCTAGACACTGTATGGCCGGGTGTTAAAACAGATGTTCGGTATGGTCACTATAGGTGCGAGAGGGGTGCTGGCTGTCGTGCGTTTCGGGCGGGTTGGGGTGTAACCAATGGAAGGTAGCACGGTCCCTTGGGGGCCCCAGGCAGACCCGACGCATAACACACGACGTTAAGACGCGGGAGATTGCTGGCGATGCGTCCGTGATGGGGAGACATGGCTATGATTGGGAGGGCCAAGTGAGACGATTGCATCCGTCGCGTGCAGTGGTGCGGCTCTTCAGTTTTGAGTCGGCAGCAGAGGATTGTACATGGTGCAGTTACGTGCGTATGTACATATTGGGCCTGTGTTTCCTTTGCTCTTCTCATCCATCGTCGCACCTCTTCGCCAGTTGCAAAGACAAAAAAAGTCAAAAGAAAGATGGCGCGGTCCACGTGCGCTTCAACTGCCGATGGCTTCCCCAACGCATGCCGCGTTTTGAAACAGTAGGCTAGACGCAAAACATCCCATGGCTGGCAGGTCTGCAGCAGTGGTGGATGGCTCACCGTAGTAAGCCCAAGCGCGGGTCCCCTACTTACTACGTAGGTACATCCTACGCGTCGTTCAACTTTCCTTTTGGGCTCGCGCATCCTGTTGGGCTTCTCCTCCATCCCCAAGCCTGGCCGATATAACCTTGTACATACTTACATACATACACACGCACACTCTCGTCACATTTCCAGTTTAATTACTATACTCTGAACATTTTCTGGGGTTGATCCGCGTCATCAGCGTGACGCGAACATGGGACACGAAGGCTTGCCCTTTTGGCTGGTCAATGTGCCAAAGGACCAGTGGCCGAGCGAGTGCCCGGACTTCCTAAAGAATTGCAGCGACAAGGATAAGGCAATCATTGGGATGCCGGACGGCGAGTACAAAGTATTGGCATGGGACCAGGTGCGGGAGATTGTCCGTACGGTTATTGATTCACACCCGATAGGCGAGATGCTAACGGCCCCGCCAGAGAGCAACCGTGTCGACAAGTTCCACCGCCTGCCGAGCGAGCTGCGCCGCTATCGGCAGTTTACCTATAAGCTCGAGAAGGATTATGGCGGCATCATGAACTTCATAGTCAACGAGCGTCTCAAGTGGGACACCATGGAACCCCGAGGCGAACCATTCGAGTTTGATGGTACGACGGGGTGCCCTATTCGCTTGGCTGCTACCGCTGTCTAACCGTGTTCAGAGGACATCAAGATCCTGTACAACGACTGGCCGTATGGCATCGATCCAGAGATTGTCCATCTCGTCGTCTGGACTAAATTTGAGCTCGAAGACGACCCCGAGACGGGCTGGTGTACGGAAGCATCCAAGAAGCAGATTGAAGACTACGTGCAAAAGACGTTTGCGTCCAAGGTCAAGGAGGTGGTGTGGTTCAAGAACTGGAAGAGCCTGAAGAGCGTGCATGCAGTGGAGCACTTTCACGTGATGCTCTACAAGCCGGACGCGGCCTTTCTGAAGCACATTACAAATGACGATGTACCCATGACGGCCAAGTTTGGTGGCCAGACGCCGTCTGTCTGAAGTGCACTACACATGACAATGGACCTACGACGGCTAGGATGGTTGGCGAGTAAGCAGAAGAGGTTGCGACGGTTTGGTTTGCCGTCGGGTATACTTACCTGGACAAGGCCTGCGTTCACTGCGGTTTGTCACGTACTTAAAACGGAACATATGTACTTATTGATGTACTTATGTACTATACTTTCAGGCGTGCAGCAGGGAGCCAGCTCTGGTGTACACAATGGGTGAGTTTTGCGGCCAGTTCGGAATATGCCCAAATTGGTCAGCACCGTACTTACTACCAAAAGCAGACAAGCTTTTCCCCATCTAAAATCCTTCTCACCACGGTTGTGCTTGCTTCTTTCGGCCAAATCTCTGACAAGTATCGATGAAGCAGTTTCACACGGCCTGAAAAGAATGTAGACCGTAGATAGCTCGGATTCTGTGAGAACCAGACAAGTTTGCGGTAGAAGGGTCGTAGTGGCTGTTTAGAATAACCATGGAAACGGTACTATGTTGGGCAGACGCAGTTATTTTGACATGGAAATTTGACAAATGCAGCATTCGTGACTTCGGCCAGGATTCCCTGTGTGTTTGGTGGTATTGACTAAGGATGCCACAAAGCGGCGGTACATAGTGCTAGATTAGACTGTAGAACCAGTAGAGCTCATAGCCGCGAGGCCCTACACACGTATCGTCGTTATAGCTTTCACGTGTACTACACAGTAGGAGGTACGCAGGTAGAGTCGGTATTTGGCCGAAAGCGGACGCTCTGCCAGTCGGCGCCTGCAGCCTTGTCGTGGGCGTGGTGGTGGCAGCCAACGGGGCGCTCGCGCAGTCTTTCCTCTGAAGATCAGCCGGCAGATGAAATTTCAGCCACGTGTGTGGCGCACCGTTTGTGTGGCGCTCAGCGTGTGGCGGTGAAGTCGGCCATTTTTCTTTATCCTCTGCCAAGGCGCAGGATCGGAGACTTTGCAGACAGGCAGGGCTAGCATGCTGGTCACAAAGTAGACGATGAGCTGGCCAAGTGCCGCATGCCCCAAAGGAGCATCTGCTCATGTTAGGCGCATTTGCGTGTCAAATCAAGGCCTGTCTTGTATGATCAAAGCGCGGTGAGAGTGTTGTCGGTGCTTTTTAGCGCTGTCAA